GCAGTAACAACGAATACGAAGAAACTGATAAATCTTGTGTTTTAAATTATCCCTTTTTAAGTTTTTCTGGTATTATTCAAACCAAACTGTAAATGATTACCAACTCTAAATAAAAGTTATCGATTTTTTTTAATAATCGCATTTTGTACGTTCCCATTTTTTGGTTGGCATGCTTGGTGCAATAGTTCTGACAGCTGTCAAAATGTATTTCTTAGATTTGGTTGACTATAATTCGAAATTGACTTTAAATTGAAATTAAAGAGTATGTCTCTGTCTATGTCTGTATTATACATTTCAGTATAAATTTGTTATAATTTTTAATGACAAACTTGCGCCCTCCTTTCTGCCAAGGAGGGTCGCGTTCGTATACGGCTTAGAGATCTCTAGTAAGATCGTTAAGCCATTTCCTAAAAGGCGGTGTTTAGTGGGTAAAAGTCTCCACATAACCACGCAGCCGGCTGCGTGGTATGCTATGAGCATTCACCACCACCCTCCCCCCGCTTTCCGGAGGGTTGCCCATATTTGCTTCGGGCGCAAAAAAAAAATAATGACAAACTTTTTTGTCGGGTTCGCCCTCATAAATTATGAGTGGTACTAATGTGTACCGTTGCCGAGCAGGCGGATGGCGTTGTGTTAGTCACATTTCTACCACTGTCGAGCGTACAGGAATACAATATTATGTAGGGAATCTATATTTTAAAATTTAAAGATGGTCACACCTAGCCGAGTATTTTGTATATAGTATTAGCTGGTATTAGCTTTCTCACTCTAGCAGTGTTGCCATATATACAGATTTCCCCGTATTTATACAGATTTTCGGTGTGTGATACAGATATGACTGGGTACAGAATCGCACTGGGTACAGATTTTTATACAGAGTTTTCTAACTCTATTGATTGGATTACCATAATATTCAACTTAAAATAGAATGAAGCAAAATAAGTGACTAGATACTGCGTTACACACGTTCATGATTCTATTCTTTATGGTTAATTTATTTTTTGACAACGTAATTAGTTAGTATGGTAGAATTACAAGTGTATTACAAAATATGTATACAAGGTGTAAGTGTAAACACTGTTGTCACTAAAACCATAAAATTATCCGAATTCTTAAAAAAAAACCTATTTTCTTTCATAAAATTTAAGAGGTTTCTGTCCGAAACCGTCCGTAAATTCATGGATACCCTATGCGCCCGGGTGACGTAATCACTGTAAAGATCACCGCCCGCGCTAGCTACCTACACTATATTCCAATAAAAACACAATAGGTACACATAACCTGTGATGTAACTTTTCCTTCATACTTTCACCCTGGCTTAGGACAGGCAAAATTGAGGAATTAAGGAAAAATTGAGATTTTACTAAAAAAAAATGTTGTTATTTTTTATTGAATTTACGTTCTATAAGTGAAACCAAACCAGTGGTTTCAAGGATAACGGTGTTTACACTAACGCCCTGTGTATAAAATATGTATGACTGAAAATAATAAAGTAATTATATTGTAACGCCGCGCTCAAATCGGCGCACTAGCGCCATCTAGTCTCGAACCGAAGAACTAAACTTCTTGAAGTTTAAAATTCGAACTCTCGGTACCTTGCGCGTGTTTACTTGAACATTCTGGATATTTGCTAATTTATATAACTAGGCGCTGCAAGATGCGAGCGAGGAGAGTTGAACTCGGCGACACAAGCGAAGCTTCGGAGCGGAATTAAGTGAATTAGTGTGTTTAATTATTAGTGTTTTTAGTTTTCATTTGTGTAAAGTAAATTAAAGTGTTAATTTAGGTAATTTTATCGGCAATTTTTATTGTCACGAACCTCAAGCTCGTAACAATTGGTGTCAGAAGTGGGATAAAATCATGCCGATTTTACCTAAGGAGGAAACGGAGGGTGTTCGTACCCGCAGTCAACGCCAACATGAGACGGACCAGAGAGGATTTGGTGGTGCAACGCCGCAGACGTCGGAGGGCCAGCCGCCGGCAACGGAGGCCGGTTTGTCAGTAGCTCCTGCATCTGCAGCACCTGATTTAGGCGCCCTGATGGTGATGCTGCAGGAGCAGGTCCGTCAGTTGAAAGAGCAGCTGCAGAGCGGACAGGAGGAACAGGTCCGTCAGTTGAAAGAGCAGCTGCAGAGCGGACAAGAGGAACAGGCCCGCCGACAGGAGGAACAGATGCTCCTCATGAAGGACCTTCACGCTACCTTCGGGAAGGAGATAAAGGAGGTGAAGGATAGGGTTGCTCAGCATGACAACCGCCTGTCGGAAGCTGAAACCCAAATCGCGAAAGCTGAAAACCGAATCGAGAAAGCTGAAACCCGAATCGACCAATTAAACAATCGGGTTGACAACGTAATGGCCGGCATGAAGAAATCACTGGACGAACTCAAACTTGGAGATGGAGCTACAGCTCCCGTAGTAGCTACAACACCTTCGCTACGTGGGTTCAAGGTGCCACCGTTCGACGGTACCTCTTCCTGGTCAGCCTACAAAATCCAGTTCGAGGCTGTTATGAAGGCGAACGGCTGGAATAAAAGTCAGGCCATGACTGCTCTCACACTAGGCCTGCGCGACCAGGCCTTAACAGTCCTGGAAGCTCTCAGTGGGGAAGTGACTTATGAGCAACTCCTTGAGGCATTGGAGGCGAGATATGGTGACGCTCACCTGGAACACGTCTTTCGTGCGCAGCTTAAAGATCGTGTGCAGCGCATCAACGAAAACTTGCAGCAGTGGGCTCTAGAAGTGGAGAAGCTGGTGCGAAAAGCATACCGGTCTGTACCTGCGCTCATTGAAGGGAACCTGGTGCAGACATTCATCGACGGCATCCGCGACCTGGAAGTCAGAGCTGCTGTGAGGCTCGGGCACCATGAGACGCTTAAGGACGCCTTGGCCCATGCTATGGAAGTGGAAGCCGTGCGGCAGGATCATCGTTCCCATCGCGTCAGGGAGGTTGCAGCAGCTACAGTTCGCGACCGCAACAAAGGATACAGCCCAAGGTGCTATGGCTGTGGGGAAAAGGGCCATCTTCGATCCAGCTGCCCTAAGCGAACCCTAGAAAGGGAAAGTGAACGGTATCAGGAGGGTAGTGCAGCTAACGGCACTGCCTGGCGGCGACAGGATCGTCGTTCACCTCACGCTAGGAAGGTTGCAGCAGTTACGATTCGCGACCACAATAGAAGATACAGCCCTAGGTGCTATGGCTGTGGGGAAAGTGGCCATCTTCGGTCCAGCTGCCCGAAGCACACCCAAGGAAGGGAAGGTGAACGGTCTCAGAAAGGAAGTGCGGCTAACAGCACCGCCCAGCAGCAGCAGGAATACGACTTTACTATCAGACACTGCAGCGGGAAATCTCACGGCAACACAGATGCATTGTCAAGAAGATCTTGTCCTGAAGATGGCAACCATTGTAGTAGGCAAGGTAAGGAAGTGGTATCCGTGAGGATGCTCAGAACAGACCACCTCAGCAACGGGTGGAAGGACAGCCTACGACATGCACAGCAGGAAGGTCCGGACATCAAGCCGATTCTGGGATGGATGAAGGCCCGTGCTACCAAGCCTAAGTGGAAGGAGGTCTCAGCGATGAGTTCAACCACGAAAAGCTATTGGGCCCAATGGGACAGCTTGCTGCTTCAGGATGGAGTCCTGTGCCGTAAATGGGACAATGGTCGAGGAGACAGCTGTCGTCTGCAAATGGTCGTCCCTAAAGCTAAAGTGCCGAATGTTCTACAGCTGTGCTATAATGGTCGTTCAAAAGTCCATCTGGGAGTTAAACGAACTCTACTGAAGGTCCGAGAACAGTTTTACTGGGTCCATTATCGTGACGATGTCGAGGATTGGTGTCGTACATGTACAAGTTGTGCGGCCGTGCGGGGACCTCAGACACGTAGTAGAGGAGCACGGAAATTGTACAATGTTGGTGCACCACGGGATAGAACAGCCCTAGACATTGCGGAGCCGTTACAGAAAGGCGCAAGAGGGACTCCTAAGATCGTCCATGTGGATCGCCTAGCGCGTTATTATGGGACCGATAATGCTCGGGACGAGCATGTCTTAGGAGGGGGCAGTGTTACGCCGCGCTCAAATCGGCGCACTAGCGCCATCTAGTCTCGAACCGAAGAACTAAACTTCTTGAAGTTTAAAACTCGAACTCTCGGTACCTTGCGCGTGTTTACTTGAACATTCTGGATATTTGCTAATTTATATAACTAGGCGCTGCAAGATGCGAGCGAGGAGAGTTGAACTCGGCGACACAAGCGAAGCTTCGGAGCGGAATTAAGTGAATTAAGTGAATTAGTGTGTTTAATTATTAGTGTTTTTAGTTTTCATTTGTGTAAAGTAAATTAAAGTGTCAATTTAGGTAATTTTATCGGCAATTTTTATTGTCACGAACCTCAAGCTCGTAACAATATGTTCATTTGGCAAATGTTTGAGTTTTACCAGATTAATACTGCTGTGTTTCGTATGTTGAAAGTAGAAATCCGGAGACCCTTTTTACTGGAAATGAGGCATCCCCTCTTGGTCCTCAGGCGTGACAACGTATCTGCGTTTTAATTCTTAAGCGAGAATAAATGTAGATGTCTATGGGACACAGCATCCACTTACCGTCGGTGGACTGTGTGCTCGTTTGTCACCCTTATTCTATAAAAAAATATTTTTATTTAATAACTATAATCAAACCTTATCTTCTTATCACGTTAGTATTTATTCCTTGTTTTTCAAAAAAAGCAATGATGATGATGATGATCAATTATTCTATTTTGGTTTATTATACAGATTTTAAGTTTAAATAGCATACAGATTTAATACAGATTTTAGCAGTGTCTAATACAGATAAAAGGTTCAAGACATCTGGCAACACTGCTATCTAGTCTGTGTCTGCTGTCTGTGGTATTGGCTAAATATAAATATTGCACACTTGCTGGTCAATAATAAGATAAAATTATGGATGAGTTATACGATTATTGAAAATTTTAAAAACGAATAGGTAACGTTATTTGTACATCATGAATTATAAAGATTGCTGTCGAACATGCCTTGGTGGCGATAAAGAGATGCGCCACATGCACACGAAGATTTCAGTTGCAGGCGATAAAGTTCGTTTATCAGATATTTTAGTTAATTTTTATAATTATAAGGTAAATATTTATGGGATTAACCATATGAGTAAAATAGATACATTTATGAATGTTTAATATATATTAGTAATTCGGCTAACGAGTTTTTGATATTAAAATTTCAGATACCTGAAGATCCCTTACTACCGGTGAATATTTGTATTAACTGTGTACATCAACTTACCATAACTTATTCCTTCAAAATTCTTATAGAGTCAAGTGCTAAAACTTTAAGTGAAAGTAATTTATTAGATTGTTCCAAAAGTGAAAATTTTGATTACAGTTTAGAATCAGATGATCAGAAAGTTATTAAGGATATAAAGAGACGTCACATAAAAAGAAAAGTACCCCATAAAATACAAAATAGTGCAAAGTATGTCAACCAAACAAAAGAGTTATATTGTGTTGAATGTAAAGCAAAGTTTAATTCTGTCAAATTTTTAAATGAACATTGCATGAACAATCATCCAGTTAAAAACGTTGTGGGAAGAGACTGTGAGTTTTGCAATGAGAAATTTGAGGATTTTCGCTCTTTAGTACTTCATAGAAAATTACACTTAAAGCCATTCCTATGTGAAAATTGTTGGGAAGGTTTCTACAGCACAAATGAACTGCATTCCCATTCTTGTCAACCAAATGTAGATATTAAAGATAAAAACAAATCAGAAAGGGTGTTACGACAATGTGATCAATGTGGAAAAGCATATCCACCAGGTTACATTCGGATTCATATGTTAACACATAGCAATAATCGACCTTACAGTTGTAAATTTTGCCCAAAGAAATTTAAAGTGCCTGGGGGTCTACATTCACATGTCCTTTGGAATCATAAGAGAACTAGGAACTATAAATGTGAGGTTTGCAATGCAACTTTCATTTCATCAAGTTCACGTAGCTCACACATACGTAAGAATCACCTAAAAGAGAAGAAGTATGGTTGTGAAAGTTGTGGTAAAAGGTTTTTCTCAAAATCAGAATTGCAAAGACATTCTTTAACACACACCGGTGTTAAAAATTTCCATTGTCATTTGTGTGACAAGTCATATCAGACAAGGTATGGATTAAATGTACACTTAAAATCTCATTCTGAAATATGTATGAATGTTATGAATTTGTAAATGTTTACTGCAATAAAATTAGAATAGATATAAGTACAAACTATTGATATGATCTCAGTTAAAAAAGTATTAAAAATTAATATATTATTTACTACTCTATTTTTCACTTTCATTTAACTCAGCTTAGCTTAAATTGTGAGTCACCTAGACTTTGCCTACACAATTACAAACCCAATCTCTCATTAGTCACTTTTAAAACATGCTAATCTGTTAGCACATTCTATAATTTTACAAACATAGATAGAGCAACACACAAACATGTTTATTTCATACATTGGTTTTCGATGAACAAAAAATTGAAATTGAAACACCCAATGATAAGTGGATACTGCATCCACTTATCATTGGGTGTTTCAATTTCAATCATTATCCATCGACATTTACATCAACCTTCAATTAAGAATACCAAAATGCACATGTGTTGTGACTACTGAGGACTAAGATGGAATGCCTCATTTCCAATAAAAAGGGTCTCTGGTTCTCTCCAATCAGCATACAAAACACAGCAGCATTAAGCTTCTATTGGACTAAATTGGGTGAAATTCAATCTGAAGATATTAATATATATGAAACACAGCAGCATTAAGCTCTTATTTTACACCGGTATTCTGTGAGAGCATGGTCCCACCCTGGTCGAGCCGACCCATTCGTGCTGCAGCCATGATATAGCTGCAGCATGGTGCTACCAGACTGCCACTGGAACAAAATTTAAAAAACAGATTGGTTCGCATACAACTTTATTAAAATTTATAGAATCTAATAAAATATACAAAGAATTGGCATTATTAAAACAAAAAGGAAATGTTTTCTAAGGATGTTATCAACCATAATATAAAAAAGCTGTCCTTAAAAATGTTCAACAATATAGCTAAATTATTTAATATAACATAACCAAGTGCATTTAAAAATAATTGACGAGAGGATATTATTTAACATTTATTTGTACCCAGATATTAAAAATTTATGATTACAAAATATTACAAAGAATAAAAAAACTTGGTGTCAAAAACTCACTAAATAGAATAATAATAATCAAAGAGATATTAATCAAATACTTGAGTGTAATTTTAATGTATAATAAAAAAGGTTTAACTGAAATATTCCTATTTTAATACAAAGTATAGATACTTCAATTTATTAAGACGAGTGACATAAAACTGTAAAGTGGAAGTTGCAATAATTTATCGACATTTGACATGCACTAAAGTTGTATGCATGTATACTTTATACTAAAACATCATTCTAGGTAAGGTATTAAAAGCGAAATTATTGCAATGCAAAATAATCTGACACTTTCTACATGTAGTTATTGTATTTTTTAAGTTTTAAAAACATATCGTAATACTGGCGACCTTTATCGCAAATTTAAATTAGAGGAAATACAAACGCAGCATTGAAGAGAAAATTTAATTTAAAAATGTATTATTATTATTTACCACAACCTACATCTGATATTGCATTAAAAATTTGATAAAATCCCTTATTTATAAAACTTGCACCATAGTAAGGATTCATCTGAACATATTCTTGTAAAACCAAACCTATCAAAAACTGCATAAGAATAATAAATGTGCTACAATGAAAAAAAAAGGTTTGCATTTTACCCGCAGATACCCGACGTGTGCTACTACGCTAAAAAAGAAATATGTTTTGTTTATTTTGCAATTTACAAATTCAGCAAATTTTATTTATTTATTGACGTTTTTATATAGTGCCTAAGGCATTGTTTTAGTGGCCTTAAGCCATCTTCGCATAATTGCCCTTCTAATGAAACTGGTTTGGGGCACATCGGTTTCAAAGTCTATAACGGACAAGGGTAAAAACATTTTTGTGTTTTATAAAGATAGATAATGTAATTCGGAATTTAACTAGCAATATCTTGTCATAAGTATTAGCCTCTAACAGAAACAAAATAGTTAAGTTTTAATTCATCAAACTTTTGGATTTAATATCATTTTGAAATTCATTTGTTATGTTGATGAAATTAAAAACAAAGAAAACATTTGAATTGTTTAGATGAATATATTTTATTGTATTATAATAGAAAAATCTAAAAAAGTAAAAATCTGCAACTTTGAATAAAACTTACAGTGTTGACACTTTTGCAATAATGTAAAAAATTAAAGCATCTATAGAAAAATACAAAAAATATCACTCTGTTTCCAGTCTATAATATTTTATCCAATTTACACATTCCAGTATACATTCACTAGGCAAGTAAGGCCCATACTGTTTTCGTTACTATAGATATTTGTAATCCATTATATTCGAGTGTAACCTGCAATAGAAAAAAGTATGTTATATTATGATTTGGTTTTAAGGCAGCGGGCCTATTCGCTGAATTTGTTGACATCAATATGATGATAGTCACTTTGTTGCACATTGAGTCATATATATTATGGATATTGTGGTAGCTCTTATGAGAAACTATAGCATACACTGCAATGTACTAAAAGTAAATATCATTTTGACATCAGCACTGTTAAGGTTAAATAATTCAAATTGAACTAACAAGCTAGGAAAAATACCACCAAACTATTTCTATACTACTACAGTTCTACTATTTACAGCTTAATGCATGAACACACAATGCTGTGAGCCGTGGGTTCACATCCCGCACGGTGTTTGTTGCGTGGCCTAGAAATAATTGTTTCGCGTCTGAATATGTGTCCTATTTTATATCTGTTAACAGCCCCCAAGATACGGAAAAAATACTAGTAACATTTATACATATTTAAAAAAAAATTACTTAGTGAGTACTGTAAGTAGCTGATTAGTAAAGTTATTTCCATGTCTCATTTTAACTTGATCTTAAGGTCTCAATTGCTTTATACATAATGGGTTTGTTCCGAAATACAACCCAGTACACTGTTAAATGCTAATGACGTCATCAATTGACACTATATTGTACTGGCGTGCCGCCGCCATATTGCGTCGGATATCCGGCCACAATAAAACAATTTTTAATTGTGTGTGCGCTGAATGAAGCATGCCAGAATTTGTTTCTATACAAATACAAAAAATTATAGAATAATTGCTGGTATATCCATTAGGAGGATATAATAACTTTTCTAAATGGCGCAAAAGTATGACGTCATATACTGTCCAATGTTTTGGAACGAATCACCAGTATAGCGTCGATTCATGACGTCATTTGCATTGGACAGTACACTGCGTTGTATTTCGGAACATACCCAATAAGTGTAGTCTGTTTCATTTGTAATTTGATTTTACCCGCGCTTTTATACACGTTGAATTTAAACAAAATCTGCAGATCTATCCCTATAATAATGACCTTTGCCCAAGTCGTCTAAGTTAAATAAAAACACTAAGAAATCACTTTAAACATAGTTTTTACTATAGTTAGGAAATTTTGGCGATATGGGATTTTTTTTAAATGAAAGTTAAACATTTATTTATTTCACGTAAAAAGGTCTTTTAATCACCTTATACTTTAACACTCAGTTTTGTTGTAAAATACTGTCAAAGTAAAGATATGCTAAAATCGATTTTGCATTAAAACTTTGAGTTAGTAAGTTAAAGTGTAAGAGTAAGAACTCTTTTACGTAAAATTGCGAACCAAAAAAAAATTTATCGGACATTTGAATGACCTTTTTTAATATCTCTTACAGTTTATCAATTAATTAAAAACATTCATATGATCAGTTCTTTTTAATTTCACTAATAAATCTGAATGTTTTCTGAATAAAATACGACCTAGGGGGGGGGGTCCCCCTTGCATTGCTTTCTATCTGTTTCTCGTTTCAATCTGTACTGTCGTTTTTTCTAAAATTCTTCCCACTTTAGTATTTATTCGCTAGACGATTGCGGAGAGTTAGACAACGTTTTGATATTCACGCTCCATGAGCATACTTACGCGTTAGCTAAGTTATAAAATAAATTAAAAGACAAAATAGTTAGTGTTTTAAGTTTAAAATTAAAGGCGATCAAGACGTGTTAAAATATAAAAGACAAATCATGGCACTCATCATCACTCATATGATGAAATGTTTTGAAACATTTTAAAAGTAACATTCGTAAATCATGCTGTAAAACTATTTTAATAATAAAAGTTGTGCATGTAATTGTGTACACGCGTACAAAGTGAAACTTCTTTACAACGTATAATTCTTCTTTTATTTTATATTTTACAAAAGTAGATTAAATAATAGTATACTCATGCAGCCTATGCCGTAAAACGTTACAAGAAAACGTGACGTTTTTGTTTTTTAATCGTCGATAAAGAGGTTTCACTTCAAAGAACAAAAACTAGTGAGAGCTACAAGAAAAACAAGCTAGTTTAGAGCATGTGAAAAAACATGTGTTATAATATGTACAACTGTGATTTTCTATTGCAAAAATAAAATCGTGCAACATCACATATTTTAACAATCCGCATTTTTATTTTTGTCAAGAGACAAGTAATGCAATGTAAAGAAGCAAATCGTTTGGATATTAAATTTGGAGTAGATATTCAGTAGTGTTCTATTATAAAGAACAGGCTGTAAAGACGACACGTTCTATCTTAGCCGGGATTTGCGAGTGGCTGCGTAGATAGTTTTAATACCGCTTCAAAAAATAAAGAGGAGGTTGTCATTTCGTCTCATATTTATGTGTTACCTCAGAACTTTTTCCTAGGTGAACCGATTTTGATGATTCTGTTTTTGAAAGCTAGTGATTCTCATGTGGTCCCATATAAATTTGATCAAAATTTGACCAGTATTTTTTGAGTTATCCTTAATACTACGTATTTAATTGACTTCGACTACATTGATAATGTTCTCATCTTATTTATATTGAAGTCAGTTGTACATTATTTTAATTTTACTACTTGTTAAGAATAAAATGGTGATAGTGCGGGTGGTAACTAAACTAGAGATGCCAATAGGCATATTGCGCGATTACAATTACGTATATTCGCGATTATGATTCGATTTTATTTTATTTCTTATGGTGAAATGCATTGCTCCTTTTTTCATTGGTGTGTTAATGCACTATGTCATTATAATTTATAATACAGTTATAATGATGATGATCATTTAATATTTAATTAAAAAATTTAAAGAAACGTCTTTATTTATGGGTTAATGAAAAAAAAATGTTGTATACTAAATATTAAAACTTCTTATCGTAATTCTTAGGAAGACGCTATTGCCCATCGAAATACATAAAGATATTTTCATAATAAACATAATTTTACATTTATTATATCTGAGGAGCTGGGGAACAAAAGCGGACTTGTCCACTGTACTCGATTTTTGTTTTTTTGCACTCTTTAAGCTCATATCTAAAGACCCCCGGAGTATTTTGTATCAAAAGCGGTCCGATCTAATAGAAAAAAATAGTTAAAAATCATGATTCCTTTCAAAAGCGGACTTGTCCTGTTAGAAATTAAATAAAATTCTAAGGTATCTTTTCTCCAATCAAAACCGGACAAAAACGTAAGGAGAATTGCCGTTAGTACGAAAAATGTCAAACAAAACCGAACAAGTCTAAAAAATCTTTTTTGTTATGATATCCAATCAATTGTGGCAACACTGATAAACTAAAAAAAATCAGCTGTGTGACGGTCATTGCTTTTGTAATTTTGAGAAGCATTTTACTAGAAAACCGACCAAATTATGGACGAAAACGAAGAAATAGTGGCCAATATAAATGATGGAACACGTAAACGAAAAAAAACAGGACGACAAGCGAAAAACAACAGGGATTCGAAGTAAGCGTATAATTATACCTACCGGTGCGTGTTTGTTATTATTCTAACCTATCATGAATTTAAAATTGCTATTATTTTGTTTTAGGTACGCAGATAAAGACCCCCTTGCTTTGAATTTCGAGTCTGTGTGTGAACATAAAAAGGGAAAATTTAAGTGCCAGACTTTGACATTAAACGAAATTGTATATAACCGCAAATACAGGAGAAAAATTCAAAGAGGTTAGTTAAAGTAAGCAAATCTTTTTTTGGCTGCTCTTGGGCTCAGTAAGCACAGGGCGAACTTAATTGCGAGCAAATTATTTGAAGGCAAAACGCTACTTGACGCCAGAGGAGGAGACAGAAAAAGTTTCAAAAGTATTGATAAAAAGGAATCTGTAAGAAAATTCCTCGATGGTTTGCCAGCAAAGGAGTCACGTTACAATCGAAACAAATCGAAAAGAGTTTATCTGTCATACGAGCTAAACGTAAAAAAGTTGTGGGAGTTGTTCAATAATTCAGCGACTGATGATTTAAGTCACACAATCGATGTTCCGAAATGTTTTTGAGAACGATTTTAACATTGGGTTTTCATCACCATCTTCCGACGTATGTAGTACCTGCGAACTGCTGAAAAATAATCAGAGGACTGAAAAGAATCCTGAAGAATTTCAATCATTGAAACTTCAACTCCGAGTTTATAAAGCTAGGGCCAAAGCGTTCTTTTCCCTTACCAAAGAAACACCTGAAAATTCAATGACAATATGTTTTGATCTCCAACAAATTCAATCCCTTCCTAAAACGCCAATCCAGGAATGTTTCTATTTACGACAAGTTGGACTTTATTCTTTCTGCATCACTGATATGCCTACAAAAGAGCAACATTTCTTCATACGGACAGAAAACCAAGCTAAAAAAGGCGCCGCCGAAATTACGTCTGCTCTTTTAACATACCTAATGTTTACTGATTTTTCTGAAATGGAAGTTTTACGTCTTTTTTCGGACGGGTGTGGAGGGCAAAACAAAAATTCACATGTCGTCCACACTTTGATTTTCTGGTTGAAAAACTACGCCCATCAAAATGTCACCAAAATTGTACTAACCTTCCCTGTGCGCGGTCACAGCTTCTTGCCGGCGGATCGAGTGTTCGGTAGGGTCGAAAAGGATTTGCGGAAGAAGCCTTTCATTTTGGATCCAAAAACATATCAAAAGCAAAGCATGGCAAAGTTCATATTTTTGCTGAAAACTGGAACCTTTACAACGTCAAAAAACTTGAAGACTATTACAAGAAAGTAGAAAGTATTCGAGATGCAAAAAGAATAATAATAGAAAGAAAGTCAACCATAATCCAAACAGAAACTCCTAGTCAATCTCAACAATCAACACGAAGAAATCAGGGCCGTAGTAGGGGCAGAGCACGTGGCCGAGGCAGTGCAAATTTACGAAGAGTGTGCGCTAGGATCACTTTTAAATCAAGTAAACTTTGGCGTGAAATTCTTAAACAACTACTATGGAAATGAATCATCAGAAAATGCTGTATCATTGTTAAAAATGACAAAAACACATCCGAGTTTACTACAAAGACTTTCAATGGTTAATGAACCAAAACCAAAGAAGAAAAAAGATGTTGAAACACTCTTAAAGAAACAATTCGGAGATAATTGGATGGATAATCAAGAGCTTGATTGGTTTAAAAACAATATATTCCATACCTCACCAGTGGCAATTGCTGAAACAAGTCAAATAAATGACGAAGACGATGACCACAGTGAAGATTGTGACTGTTGTGAACCAGATGTGGGAGAATTCGTATAATTTTTAAATAAAAAAATATAATAATAGAATCTAGTTTTTTGTCATAACCGGACATTTCCATAACTCTTTCAATCATAACCGGAGTTGTCCACCTTTAATAATCAAAACCGGACTTGTCCATTACAAAAAAAAAAAAATAATTGAAAACACATATTTTTGTGACCAACAAGCAGGCAGGCTATTGGTTATGTTGTATTATATACTGTATTATACTGAAATGCATAAATTTCAGCCCATATGCATATACTTACCTAATTCAGTTTTTTTGCTCTAGTGTAAAATATAATTAGTTGGACAAGTATGCTTTTGTTCCCCAGCTCCTCACTCTATCTATCTGCACTAAGTGACTTTCACTACTAGTAGTTCAAAAATGCAAAAAAAGTCGTCAAGGCTGTGAGATATCGCGCCCCAGAATTGCAAGCAGAAGCCGAAAGGGTACAGCAACAGCTAGAGTTTTTGGAAAAAAATAGAAGGCGACGTTGAAACGTTAGAAAATGACAAGAGCAACCCTTTTCCTGAAGTTGATCTAATACTGGAAAATGCCGAAGAAACCGAAATTGAAGACAGGGTTTTACCATCAGCAGACGAAAATTTCAAACATATTCCAACAATCGAAACCGCAACCCCAACTTGTTGGCACAGCATTTTATAAATGCTATAAAGTGTAATCCACATATGCTACCGACAATCAATAAATAATATGTGGAGGAAGATTGGAACTCAGAATAACTCAAAGTGAGTCATTTAGAAGATCTAGTAAATTTTTTAAGTTTTCGCGAAGCCGTCGAAATGTTGTCTCAAAAACATGCACAATAAATGTTGCTCTGGTGTTCCGTTCTGAGATTATGGACGTATTAAAGCTTAATCAAGATGATGAGTGAGGCACTAATAATGTTACGCTTAAAATTCAACATGAAAAAAATTCCCAGTAACAAAGCCCATTGTCGCAGCAGCACTATTGGATAATCGTTTTATAAGTCTGACAGAAATTGGTTTATTCATAAAAAATCAGAATATGACCAGAACATCCTTCTTTTCCTCGTACATCAGAGAATTCATAAATATATAAATTCAATAACGAGCCAGAAGCTTAAGCCGACAATGCAGGCAATACAAGCACCAGCAACTAGGGCATGGATACCGGTATACCGAAATACCGGTATACCGGTAAAATTTTCGGTACTTTTAAGACCGGTATTTGAGGATAAAATACCGGTATTTCGGTATTTCATAATAAGTGATCTATTTTTGCAAGGTTGTTTAAAAACTACAGAACGCTCGATTTCTACAGTTCATACGTTCAGTTTTCATATGACATCAATCACGAATAATCTGGATTGTAGAAAAATAAACTCAAAATCAACTACGCAAGACACTGTATGCATATCGTCGCTGATCTTTGCCGGCTACTTACCGACTGAAGACGTGCATTGAAAATACTCTGATAAACTTAAACTCTGCTGTCAAGTTCTCCCAAGAAGAGTTTGAATTGCTGTATTCCATTCAAAAGAGCCCGAAAATAGTCAAGATGACAGTGAAAGCACTTTGCCGACGAGATGCGACACTTAACTGCAGAAGCTGCCCTTAGATAATATATGCTACGAAAATTAAATAACCAAAAAACAAGTTTATCTAAATCTCTGGCGGAAGCTCTAAGAAAGCGCATATCGGAAATACGACAACCTATGACTGCAATTTTACAGTATGTTCATAATTCCCGGAAGAATATTTCAAAGAAATTGCAGAGACACGCCGAGATAACCATACAGAGTTTCCTAGAATGAGTTGTGATGAAATGATTACGTCAATTACTGAACATATTCATCGATTGCAAGAACAGACTCTCAACTCTCTACAAAACAGGAGTGCGATGAGCTCATCTGCTGCCGCTTATGCTTGTGGTGAAAAGGAAACAAGTGAAGATGACACAGGTACTGTTCTGTGATGGGGAAGGAACTTAATAAGGCAATAGAAAAATCTATGACCAAAAAGCAAAACAGATCCCAGATCGGCGAGGAAGAAGAAGATAACATTCAAACATTAATTCGAATTGAAATGACATTGTATGAAAATGGAGGTACGGGAGGTAGGTTTTCGGACGCAGCTTACAATTAATTCTTAAGTATTCCTCCCACGAGCGTTGAATCAGAAAAGGTCTTTTCAGCTGCAAGTTACATTTGTAAAAAAATAAGATCATCGCTCAACGACGCCAGTTTGGACGCGTTGTGTTTTCTTCGTTCGATTTTGCAACAAACGCTATTTGCCTGATTAAAAGACTTGAATACTTGAGTTAAATTAAGCCTGCGCCTACATTTTGATTTATTTTGGAATAATTACTTTCGATACTTTCATTTGCAATTTGATTTTGTTTTAACAATAGTTCATAATCGTAGTTTATACTGTGACTAAGAAAGATATTTAAAATTGTTAAATGTTTTTTTATCATTAGATAGTAAGACTGATTTTATTACCGATTGTGATATTTGTGCCAATGAAACAATATAAAAAACAATTGTTGGATCAAATAACGTGTTTTCTTTTTTATTCTTAATTACCTTTATTTTATCTCATTTTGTGGACTCTAGGAAGTTGATAAATAGTTTCAGTGTTTCTGCCATATAGCGTAGGAAATTGCTTTAATTGCTCTCCACAAACAAGACTTACCAACCGTTATTGGAATCATTTAAATATTTATTAGCAGTATTTAAAAATACCGAAGTAATACCGAAATTTCGGTATATCGGTTATTGTAATTTCAATACCGGTATCAATACCGGTATGAAAATCATTCCGGTATTCCATGCCCTACCAGCAACATAACCGATACATCATTCTTACACAAACTGTCGAGGAAACAGTATTAGTTCATATCAAGGGATTCAATCATAACGCAGTAATTGTTAAAATGTCTAGCGTTTCTTTTTAAACACAAACTAGCACGTCTTTGTAAAGGTAAGCGTCCACCTATCGGCATCGCACGCATCGCATCATACGGATCGTAGTATTCTTTGTATAGAAAGTCATACAAGTGCGTCCACCAATCCGCATCGTACGGATCGCATAGATCTGCTTGTCGGCAATGCCGACGCTCATGCTCCGAGGGGCAACTTTTGCGATGCGTGCCGATGACGTCATACGGAATGTCGATCAGTGGACGCACAGCGCGCGCGCTCTCTCCGCGTCGCCGGTCGCCTGCCATTTGCATTTGATGATCGTCGCATCCACATGCGTTCTTGCATCATGGACGCCGCACAACTAATTGCAGTCGTGCAAGAGTATGAAGAGTTATATAATTTAAGACACCCTTTTTATTCTAACCAACAAAGGAGGGACAATATCTGGGAAGAAATTGGACGAAGATTAAATAAAAGCGGTAAGTTTGTAGGTTATGTTTATTTTACTTGTTATACATTTTCGTGCCTTCCACTCCGAACTCTTCTTAATTGCCATTCAACCGAATCTACTTCTGAGTTGAAGTAATTTTTGAAGTTATCTCTGACTGTTAAAGCATCTGTGCGTGAATTACCACTTATGTTTCGTAGGTTTTGTAGCCCTGACATTTCCGCAAGAGAAATGTTTATATCATTTTCTGTCATCTCTTAGAAAGTTGTGCAAACAGCATGTAGCCATTACAACAGTCACAATATGTTCTTCGTGCATAGACAATCTTCGTTCAAAAATTCTAAATTTTCTTGCCAATATCCCAAACGTATTTTCTACAGTATTTCTCGCACGACTGAGCCTGTAGTTAAATACTTTTTTTCTTCTTCATCTCTTTGGACATCGTCGCGAGAATATGGTCGCATTAAATACGTGCATAATGGAAAAGCCTCATCACCGACGATGACGTGAGGTAAAAATTCAGTGCCTCCTGGTGGGATCTTATGTGGAATGTATGTGTATGTTTAAAGTGCCGTCCTGTAAACCTTTGCCTAAACTCGAATCTCTCAAAATACTAGCATCAGATGTGGAGGATCATGCACCTTCCCTGTTGGACCTTCTGCTGACCTCTCACCCGGACGGATATCAGATTTCCGTCGACGCCCCTTTAGGCTCCTCACCATTTCTTCCAGAGTTCCACTCCGCTGACCGGTTATTCCAGTGCCGTGTTTGGCACTATAGGTCAGCCGATTGGGATGGGATGCGGTCTTTCTTTGCATCCTACCCTTGGGGGCGGGTTTGCTTCTCGCCGGATGATCCCAACGTTGTTGCGGACTCTGTTGCTGATATGGTACTTCAGGGTATGGAACTTTTTATTCCTTCCTCTGTGGTGCCCATTGGAGGCAAGTCTCAGCCATGGTTTGGTCGCTCCTGTAAAATAGCATCATGCTATAAGCAGGAGTGCTACCAAGCCTGGGCTGATGCATCAGCGTCCCGGGATGTAAACACCAGCGCTCTAAAAAAAGAAGTATAATTCCGCCTCTAGGTCCTTCAAAAGAGTCATTGCCAAGGCAAAGTCAGAGCACATAGGCAGAATTGGCGAGAAACTAGTTCGCCTTCCTTCTGGAACCCGTGCATTCTGGTCTCTCGCCAAGGTTGTCCAGGGGAATTTCTGTCAGCCATCTCTTCCATCTCTGCACAGGGAGGACGACTCACTGGCCCATACCGCAAAGGAGAAAGCGATCTTCTAGCTCTTACTTGGCGTCTAACTCGACACTCGATGACGGGGGGAGTACTCCGCCGACCATCCCGCGGTGTGAGTGCTCCATGCCGGAAGTGCACTTCACACAGCGCTCGGTTCGCAGAGCACTCCTCTCCCTGGACATCCACAAGTCGAGTGGGCCTGACGGAATCCCCCCAATTGTGCTGAGGACGTGTGCTCCAGAGTTGGCACCGGTTTTAACGCGTCTTTTCCGGTACTCCTACTCCCTAGGCGTAGTCCCAAAATCATGGAAGACGGCTTACGTCCACCCGATCCCAAAAAAAGGCGACCGCTCTGACCCGTCCAATTACCGGCCAATCGCCATCACCTCCTTGTTCTCCAAAACAATGGAGTCCATTGTAAACTGCCAGCTCATGAGGTACCTTGAAGATCACCAGCTGATTAGTGACCGCCAATACGGTTTTCGCCGTGGTCGGTCAGCTGGTGATCTTCTGGTCTACCTAACTCACAGATGGGCGGAGGCAGTAGAGTTCAAGGGGGAGGCATTGGCCGTTAGTTTGGACATTGCGAAGGCCTTCGATCGGGTTTGGCACAAAGCGCTTCTTTCGAAGCTCCCTTCCTATGGGCTTCCCGAGAAATAGTGCGATTGGATCACCAGCTTTCTGGCAGATCGGAGCATCAAGGTCGTTGTAGACGGTGCAAGCTCCGATTGCAAGCCTATTAATGCTGGTGTTCCACAGGGCTGTGTGCTATCGCCAACGCTGTTTCTTCTGCATATCAATGACATGTTGCGTACCCGTAACATTCATTGCTATGCAGATGACAGCACTGGTGATGCTCTTTACACCGGCCGAGCCAATATTTCTCAGGAAAACGTCTCCGAGTGCCGGGACAAACTTGTGTCTGAAGTCGAGTCTCTGCTGGACAGAGTCTCGGATTGGGGGCGACTAAATCTAGTCCAGTTTAACCCCCAGAAGACACAAGTTTGCGCGTTAACCGCTAAAAAGAACCCCTTTGTCGTATCCCCTCAGTTTCAAGGCACTCCCCTTGTTGCCTCAGCCAGTATCGGAATCCTCGGCGTCGACATATCGAGTGACGTGCAGTTTCGTGGTCACTTGGAAGGGAAGGCCAAATTGGCCTCTAAAAAAGCTTGGCGTGCTCAGCAGAGCGGGACAGTATTTCATGCCGGCACACCGCCTGCAACTTTACAAGGCGCAGGTTCGGCCGCACATGGAATACTGTTCCCATCTCTGGGCTGGGGCTCCCCAGTACCAGCTTCTTCCACTTGATCGCATCCAGCGCAGAGCGGCTCGAATCGTCGACGACCGAGTGCTTTCCGATCGGCTCGATTCACTGGCGCTGCGAAGAGATGTTGCATCTCTTTGCGTATTTTATCGCATCTATCACGGGGAGTGCTCTGAGGAATTGTTCGGATTAATCCCAGCCGCCAAATTTCGTGAACGCACTACACGTCAAACGTCCCGATACCATCCACACCATCTGGATGCTTGGCGGTCCACCACTGTACGTTTCACAAGGAGTTTTTTTCCACGTACAACCTCTCTGTGGAATAGTTTACCACCGGCGATTTTTCCGGACCGATACGACCTGGGGACCTTCAAGAAAAGAGCTTACTCCTTTCTAAAGGGCCGGCAACGCACCCGCAATTCTCCTGGTGTTGCGGTTGATCATGGGCGGCGGTAGTCACTTAACATCAGGTGAGCCACATGCTCGTTTGCCCCTTCTTCTATAAAAAAAAATCAGAGTTCTTACCAAAAGCACCGACATCTACTACTATGAATTTATAATTTGCGTCGGCTAAGGCTAACAATACTAAACTAAAGTGTTTTTATAGCAAAAGTAATTTGAGCCACTGTGTGGTGGTGCCTGAATAAGCACGTGTTTTCCATCATAATTCCTTTTTATGAAAACCTTTTTCTGATTTAATCCACAACTCTTCGGTAGGTTTTGGCATTACTATGGGCTGTAGGTGTTGAATAATGGCTTCGCAGGTGGAATACACAATTCTTCGCACTGTTCGTTCACCAATCCTGAAGGAAAACGACAGTGATCGAAGAGTTCCCAGTAGCTAAGAACCTGAAACAAAAACATATATTTAGGTATTTATTTATTGTTACAGGTAATGCATGCAAGGAGCGATGGACCAGAATTAGAGATAACCATAGGAAGGCTTTGAATTTGCGCGAGATAAAAAGCGGCCAAGCAGCATCAAAGATAAAAGCTCCTAAATTCTCACAAGAACTTTCTTTTTAACACCGTATCTAAGCGATGAGGAAGAACGGCGTTCAAACCTATCACCTAGAAGTACCAACAATAATGAAGAAACACAACTTGAGTCACTGAATGAATTAGGTTATCCAGATAACAATGTATCAAGCGATGCACAAAGTGAACAATCCATGCAATCCTTGGGATCATCACGAATTATCCGTAAGAAATCGAGCTTCGCAACTTCACAAGCTTCACAATGCCCAGCCAGCGTTCTACAAGATTACTTAACAAGGACGGCCGAAACCAGAAACTAGAGCGATCCTCTTCTCGATTTTTTCATAAATATGGCAAAAACAGTAAAGACTTTTCAATAAATAGTAACTTTAATTTTAATAAATAATAACCTTACACACACAGCAAGCCTTTCTTCTGGTCGTATAGCCTCCCTGTATGCTGTATTCTGTCTTAATAAATGTGGTTTCAGGATGTCAACAAGAGTATTAAATTTAACTTGAGTCATGCGAAAATATTGGAAGAATTTGGCATCATCGTTTAGCAAATCAGGAAACAGTGTGTGATATTCTCCATGTTGCGATCTTTTCTTGAAAATATCGTGTACCCAGATAATATGTTTCCTTTTTCTAGAATTCTTAGCTTTTTCTTCCTCTTCTTCAGCTAACAAACAAGCAATTATGATAGTTTCTTCTTCGTTTTGTTCCATTATCTCACAAACAACACGTCAACACGTACCACTCGCCACTAAAATCCGTATGAAAATGACGTCGGCAATCCGATTACTAGAGGTTGCGTCAGAAAATACGATCGGTGCCGATACAGTGGACGCATAGTACAAAACTGGTCCGTTTGATGCGATGAGTGCAATGCCGATAGGTGGACGCTTACCTTAAAGGTCAATAGCTAAGTCCCAAACATATTTTGTGACTTTTTTGCTAGCCTCTACAAATGCAAAATATGTAAAATTTAGAGTTTAAAATTCTGAACATTTTTTTTCTTCTGTCATTCTACTGCACGAAGTCAGGAATTAAAGATATTCCAGTTTAACCCTTCAAGCGGCGCTGTTCCGTCAAAATACAAGCGGTCGGATTCGACCGCGTACACCACAGCACTTTAAACCATTAAAACTTATATTTAGAGACTACTTTTCTATGAAGAAGTTTGGCATTAAAGAATAAATATGAAATTTTCTATACTCTAGTGCAATAAAAACACTTATCCTATGGATATTTATTTATGATCTACGTTCATTTCGTACGCCATTTTCGCGTGAATGTTACTGTGTTGATTTTTGGATTTTTCTACTGTTTTAGTATTGTGTTATATTATAAAATTGTAATGAAAGTTTTTGTGTGAATATAATTAATCTTTGTACGTAATAATTTCGAGTAATATATATTGAAATAATTGTGATTTTCACGCTGCCGACATTCGCTTGGTATGTATTGTTTTTGTTATCAAGAAACAATAGTCTTTTTGTAATGAAGTAAAACTTGACTTTTATATAGAGAATTTAGCATAGATTTTATAATGCTAAACTTCTTCATAGAAAAGTAGTCTTTAAATATAAGTTTTAATGGTTTAAAGAGCTGTAGGTGGGTGCAGTCGCATGCGACCGCTCGGGATTTCACGGACGCAGAAAAAATATGCTGTGTTTCAGGATGTACTAAAAGCCGTGAGTAAATCCAATTATTTACAGATTTTACCAATCAATATATTATTTATCTATTTTATACATAAGTCAGTGTCACCTTGGGCAACAATGTGATACCTAGCGCGAACGCAGGTAGCCCAAGAGTTCTGTATCACTTTTGCAGCAGTGGAGCAGTAGTGTTATAAGTATACATAGCAAAGTAGTACACTTTGCTATGTATACTTATAACACTACTGCTTATACTACTGTCATTACACTTTTTTAAAACACTTCTAAAATATAAAATATTTTTTGTAGGTGAAGATGGCTATGTACTTCACAAATTTCCGAATCCTACAAAAGATCCAACACGATTTTGTACATGGGTTCAAGCAGTTGGTGGAAACCTTCTGTGCTTAGATGATATATATGTATTTAAGTACCGAAGAATTTGTCATACACATTTTGATTCCAAGTACTGGACCAGGAATAAAATGTTAAGCAACATTGCATATGAAAGGTTAGTAAAGATTTGCATTAACATTGTACTAATAATCTATTCTTAATATTATGAATGTTAATGTTAATATGGTAGTTTGTTCATAAAATAATTAATTTTACTATTCAAACATGAACAATTGAATGTATAAATGTTGATTCATTGTTAAACTATGTTCTGCAATACTAATTTTCAACTTCCATGTTGACAAAATATTATGCATGATATGCAAAGCACTTTTATTTTTGAATAACTATTTGATTCAAATGATAATAAAAAGCTTATAAATTAAGGCTTTTATAAAGCTCATATGAATATCAAAATCTACACCAGTTCATAATATTAAACTTTCTCAGAGTACATTTGGGAAGAAACATGAGTTTATGTTGCAATAACAAATATATAGTGATCTAAAGATCTTTTCCAGTACTAATGAGAACATACTATACAGTGGCGAAGCTAGGGCTCCAAACTGGGGCAAGCCCAAGAAATGCTTTTGTTTTTTAGCAGTTTTAAAAATACATCTATCTTGATCTGTCTCCACTCTTCAGTTTTATAATCAGTTCTGTCGAGGACGTGTTTAACAAAGTACACCAAAAGCATACTACTGCTAGATAGATTGTATGACATATCAGCAATTGCATACCTTCGGTGGCTTTGAAAAAAGCCGTTTGGGTTTGCTTGAGCGAAAAAAAAGATGTTTACATACAATACAATGCATGAACAAAGTACAAACTATGTACAAAAAAAATTATTTATATTCTAAATCGAATCGTCTCTCTTAAGGAAAGTTTTAATTACGTCCGCGTAAAATGTTGGTGGACGTTTTAATTGTACCAATAACTGTTTTTCAATCGCGATAATAAGTCTGAAAGACGCTCTTGACCTTGTGTATTTCTCAAATAAGTATGGATGCGCTTCAGAGATGAGAAAGCACGTTCCGCGGGGGAACTTGTGGCTGGAATAGTTACGACAAGATAAGCTAACTTTAAAAGTTGGGGAAAGGCCTCTTCAATACTATTTTCGTTTATAAAGTCAATGAGTTCGAAAACATTGCGGTCTTCTAATTCAGGGGAGGAATACAATGAAATCAATTAGTTTTTCAATGTTTGTTTATCAAAATGGTTTATGTAATTTTCAAATAATGAATCTAATGCCTTTAAAGGAAAATCTGAACGATATTTTTCGAATAGTTTGTTGTTGAACAATTGGAAAAATTTTAATTTGAAAATTTCAGAATATTGGCCATTAATTTCTGAAGATATGTTATCAATTATTTCAACAAAAAGTCGTTTATATTCTGTCTGAGCACAGCGCACATTGCGTCTCAAACGAGGAGCAGAGGTATTTTGTAATGTGTTTTCATAAATGTGATCAAAATCTGACTGAAATTCAGTACGTAACCATATCTGAAACTCCTTTATTTTATTACTGCAATAACCGACATCAACTTGTGATTTTTGTAGATTATTACCCGTTGGAAAATTGAAAGAAAAAAATTGAAATTAAATGAACACAATGTGTTATCAAAATTCTCGGCGGCCAAGATCGTATCGCCGTCCCAGTTCTGCGGATTGTCGCACATATCCGAAAACCAATTAATTAGATTATCTTTTTGCTCGAATACTGTATTCACAATTCGTGACGTATACGTCCAACGAGTTGCGGGGGCATTAGGCAATTTTTTGCTGCAAAGGGCATCATAAAAAGACGACCGTTATGTGCTGTTATTAAAAAAATTAAATAAAGCCTGAAGGGCTGAAAAAAAAGTGCTGACTTCCCCAATCCTGTTACAAGATTTAGATAAAATTAATGCCAAAATGTGTGCATTACACCAAATATACATGGCTTGGGGACAAATATCTTTAACTTTTTGTTGCACTCCATTTCTGACACCGGACATGACACTTGCGCCGTCATAGCTTTGCGCAACTAGTTTTGTGGTGCAGTCATGTTTGTTTAAATAATTCCTATATGATATTACAAAGTGTGTCTGCTGTGCGACTTTCAGACACATCTACATACCCCAAAAAACGGTCATGAATATCGTTTCCATAATAATATCGGAGAATCAGACACAATTGCTCTCTATGACTAATATCGGGAGTTTCGTCAATAATAATTGAAACGAATTTTGACAATTTTACTTCGTACTCGATGTGGGTTTTCATTACATCAGAATATCTGTAATTTTGGATTGTACTAGATAAATAACTCGACCGTGTGTCGCTTTGTTGATATTGTATATGCTTTTCTAACATGAGACCGTACTTCGAAAGAAGCGATACAAGTTCTAAAAAATTGCCTCTATTTAATGAAGTTTTGAAAGGAAAGGAACCTCTGAAAGGAAGTTCTTGTTGTGCTAAATGGCAAACAATATCGACTAATCTTTGAAAAACACTACGGTTGTGATCAACACGCATGTTGTTTTATAATTTCCGCTGATAACTGGCGCGACAAAGATTTTTCAATCCGATTTTTTCCAAAATTACTAAACGAAATTACCGCATTCATGTGTTTTTGAGAATTCATGTGCCTTTTAATGGCTCCAGATAAGTTATTTAAATCGTCATATCCAGTAGTATTCCAAGCCGTTTTGTCGTTGGAAAAGAATATATAACACCAACAGTACAATTTATTTGATATGAGCTGCCAACAATCCAATGAGTTTTGTAAACAGATCTATTAAATTGCCGTTTATGGGTTTTACTCGTCTGAGAAATACACAGATCAGGCGTTGGATTCGGCGAGGATATGAGCTATTTTTATCAACAAAGTTTAAAAATTTTACCTTTTCCTCGCCGATTAGCACTTTAACACACTTCAATTCATCACAAGGAACACTCTTTCCCTCCATTTTCACTAAAAACCTTTAAAAAAGCATAAATTTTAAACCACATTCGCTCAAGCTCAACACACAATGCACAAAGTAGAAGTACTTTTTGACACAATGTAAACACTAAACATTGAAATGTGACACGAACTTGCTAACATATCGTCGGCTCGTCGGCGTCGGCCGCGCGCCTCCTCTCTCGACTAACTTCATACCTAACGTGACCATACGTCCCACTTTAGGCGGGACGTTCCCGATTTAAATGTTTGTGTCGCGCTATCCCCAAAATACGTAAAAATGTCCCGCTTTGACAAACAAAAGCGTGACAATCACGCAAACCCTGTCATCCGTGCCATCATTATGACACCGCGCGTACCAGGTTTGCATAGCTTGTCTAGTTACGTGATTATTCTGAAAAGCTACACTTTTGAATTTAAAGTTACGAAGTGGCAATTTTTAATTAATCTACAATAAATTACCAAATAACATAAGATATTTCCAATTAGTATTTATTTGATGTTTAGAATTCACTTTTGATCGTTAAAAGACTCAAACAACTATGTGTTTTATTTAGAAAACTATATTAAAGGGTTTAAGTGTAACACTACTGCTACTGAGAATTTTGTGACGGAAAAACCCAATAAATGATTCTTGACCCGACTCGGGTGTCGAACTTGGGACCACATGATCAGCAATTGCGTTTACTGCCATTAGACCAAGAAGGCAGTCAAAAGTGTTAGA